ATCAGCCCGGAGGCAGTGCGGAGCCGGCACATCCTTCCTGGCCAACCCACCCACTCTGTGCGTGTCATCCAACCGCAGCGGCCTGGCCGCCGACAGAAGCCTCGGAGGGGTGGAGGCCAAGCGGCTCTCCCTAGCATATGGCTGATCAGAGGTCCGTGGCTGAGGACGTGTTCTGTCTGCGGGCCTGCACCTCAGCCACGGATGACAGAACTTGGCAGGCTGGCCAGGGACCACAGGTGTGACCTGGTATGAGAGCTTTGCTCAGTGGAGAGGGCAGGGTCGGACTAAATGAACGATTCTCTCCTGTGATCGCCCAGCAGCACACGAACTGGCAAGACCGTGATGTTCCCACACGCCTGAATGGTTAACTCAGCCTCTGGCCAGCTCAACCCATAGCTGGATGCTACAGGGGGTTACCCAGAGAAGAGTGGGAGAAGGAACGCAGAATGGCAGCTGATGAGGCAGAAGCACCACATCAGGAAGTAATGTGGCCGGCCACTCAGGGTCTGAAGGCCACCATTAATCCCAGGGGCACAGGAATACTAAACTTCCTAGAAAGTCTTTGTTTTATTCTTGAGGTTTTTTTTTTTTAATTTTTTTTGTTTTGTTTTGTTTTTCTAGACAAGGTTTCTCCGTGTATCCAGTCATGTCTCTCCTGGACTCAATCTGTAGACCAGGCTGGCCTCAAACTCACAGAGATCAGCCTACCTCTGCCTTCTGAGCGCTGGGATTAAAAGGCATGTACCACCATGCCTGGCCTTTGTTATTTTTTTTAAGGTGGGGTATCCTTGTCTATGTAGCCCAGGCTGGCCGCCTCCTCAGCCTCCCATGGATGAGATTACAGGCACATGCCACCACACCCAGCTCCTTCTTAAGAAGCGTTTGAGCAGCACACCAGGTGCCACAGTAGCCAAAATAATCTTCATTAAAAAAGATGGAATGATTTTCTTAGTGGGAAATGTAAAAGTCAACATGTGGGAGTCAGTCGGTCATTTGGGTGCCTGGGATCAAACTCATGTCCTCAGGCCTTACTGAAAGTGGCCTTTACCGAGCCATCTCATAGGACTGAGGGTGAATTTTTTTCCAGAGTGTCACTGCATAGCTCTGGCTGGCCTGCAACTCAGAGATCACTTAACAGGCTGACCCCAGAGTCCAATCTGCCCGCCTCTGCTTCCAGAGGGCTGGGATTAAAGGTGTATGTCGCCACCATACCCAGACTCCTAGGGTGGAACTTTTGTATTTAAAATATTCCCTCTGGGTGGCTGGAGAGATGGCTCAACAGTTAAGAGCAGTGGCTGAGCTGGACAGTGGTGGTGCATGCTTTTAATCTCGTAACCTGGAAGGCAGAGGCAGGCAGCCCTCTAAGGTCTAGGCCAGCCTGGTCAATAGAATGAAAGCAAAAGCTATGCAGAGAAATTCTATCTTGAAAAACCAAAAAACACCAGTTGTTTTTCCAAACAAACGATGGGGCTTCCATTCCCAGCACCTACACGGTAGCCCACAACTGTCTATAACTACAGTCCAGGGGGCTATGACACCCACATGAAGACAAAACACCCAAACACATAAAATGATAAACCTCAATAAATAAAACTTTCCCTTAAAGCCACACAGAAATCATCTCTTCAGAACATTAACAAAACTGTCACATTATTTGTTTGTTTCCAACAGAAGCTAAAATTTCTGCTGCAGGTTTAGGGTTCCTCACTGGTCTGAGATGAAATTATCTTTCCTTCTCAGGACCAGGGAGTACTTTCACCAGAGAGTAACCTTGAGCAAGCATCTCCTCAGGCACTAGCTCGCTCTCCACTCCTCAAGCAGAATCAGACTCCAAGTAACCCCTTCCCCCTACCACTCATTCACCTAACATGTATGAGTGTTCTATCGGAAGAGGGCGTCAGATTCCAGAATAGATGGCTGTGAGCCACCATGTGGTTGCTGGGAATAGAACTCAGGACCTCTGGAGGATCAAACAGTGCTCTTATCCGCTGAGCCATCTCTCCAGCCCCTCACCTAACTCTTGCTGTGGGGAGAAAAGTGTCAGCTGTGATCCTGCCTTCAAATGGGAAGAGGCACATGAACATCTCGGGTGGGAATTGGTAAATCTGGGCAGGACGCTGGAATCCACATTCCTAACAAGCCTTCCCCCATCCCCACCCTCCAGGCAGTGATACATAGATGTGTTTTGGTTTCACAGTAACACACACACACAAGAACCCAAGTGTTTATCCGCTGAGCTGCATCCAAAACCCCATAATGGTTTTTAGGTCCCACTAGGACTGCTCCCAGCCTCAGAGAGCCTGGTGCTGAATGTAAGCAAGAAAATGTAGGGTTGCATTACATATTCTCAGGAGGGACCCTGGGCCTACTCATGGCCGAAATAGAAAGGAATTGGAACCCAGCTGGCATGCCCAGTGGAAGTTGTCTTGTTGCACTGGACTGCCACCTGCTGGCTAGAGGTTGCCACTGCATGTTAGATTAAAATCCCCTGGTCCAATTCCTTTACCAAATCCTTATCTTGGCAAGGCTCTGGGGGTTCGCCCTATGGGAAAAGAGGGAAGCCTACAGAAGAAAGGTCAATCTGGGTGACGGCTACAACATGAAAGTGAGAAACAAGCTCAGTGCTAGGTAGGGGCTGGACTGGGCAGGCCTTAGTCGCTAGTAAGGAATCTGTGCTAAGGGCAAAAGGGAAAACACTAACAGTGAATCAGATTCAGGTAAGATCATTCTGGACCTTCTCATGAAACAGCAGTAGATCCCATGTAGGCAGAGTGGACGTGAAAAACAAAACAAAACAGATCACAGGGTGGTTGTCAAGATGGTGGTGGTGGGGATGGGCCTATGAGAAATATTTAAGACCACCGATTAGGTTTCAAAAGCCAGATCTCACAGGATTAACAGTAAGAAAAGATAAAAGCCCCATTCCATTCTTTCTCTTTTCAACAAGTATTAGCACCTACTGAGTGCCTAGAATTATTCTATCATCCATGGGATTCAGTGCTGTAAGGAAAGGGGGGGGGGGAGAAGCTTTTCATAGGTCAGTATTCTAAAGGGGACAATAAGAAAGCAACAAATAGAAGTAAGAACCCACTAGAGAATCCAAAAGGTTACGCAGAGCAGTGACTCAGAGAGGTGTCCGCCGTGTAAAATGCCGGGGGAGAGCATCACAATTGGCTGTGGTGGTGTGTACCTGTAATCCCGGCACTCTGCAGCATGAAGATCTGGGACCCATGGTTAGCACGGACCACACGCTAAAACAGAAGGGGGAAGCCAGGCCTGACGATGCATAACTTTAATCCAGCACCCAGGATGCAGAAGCAGGCAGAGCTCTGTGAGTTCAAGGTCAACCTGGTCTACAAGAGGGCTCCAGGCCAGCCAGTGAGACCCTGCCTAAAATTAATTAACTTTAAAAGGATAAGGGGTGAGGGGGAAATGAGTAGAGGAAGAAACAAAGTGGAAGAAGGAAGAACGAGCATTTTAGACTAAGGGAGCAATTACAAGAACCACGAGAACAGAAAGGATCAGAGGCAGCCAGTGTGACTAGAACCCAACAGTCAAGGGCAAGCCCAGTGAAGAGAGAGTGAGCAGGGCCCACTTTACAAAACCCTGATCTTTTTCTCTTTCTCTTTTTAAGTATGTATTTATTTATTATGCACACACTTTTCTGCCTGCATGTACACCTGTGCGCCAGACAGAAGAGGGCACCAGATCTCACCATAGATGGTTGTGAGCCACCGTGTGGTTGGTAGAATTGATCTCAGGACCCTTGGAAGAACAGCCAGCCCTCTTAACCGCTGAGCCATCTCTCCAGCCCCTTGTTTTTATTTTTCAAGACAGGGTTTCTCTGTGCAGCTCAGCTCACAGAGACCCGCCTGCTTCTGCAGGGGCAGCCCTGCTGAAGGAATTCTCTTGAGTAAAAAGGAAGCCACGGACACACCTCAAGCAGGAAAGTGACAGGATCCAATCTCATCAAAATCCCTCTAGAGACCGTATCCAATGGGAGTGGATCCAGTATGCAAAAGCCCTGGATTCCACTCCCAGCACCTCAGGGTCCACAGGACTTATGGATGAGATGGACATGGGGATAAGCAAATGGCAGAACCCCGAACCACAAAAATGACAGCGGCTACAGGAAACTAAGATGGGGAACGGACCTAAGAGAATCTCTCTTCCACGGATGCTTCATCTCAATAGACAAAAGCCCTTCTCTGCAGCTGGCCTAGCCTGCTTAGCACACCTAGTATGCGGAGGAAGAGTCCTGGGCAGCCAGTCCCAATTGTCACTCCTGTCCAATTCCTGACAGTGTCCCTCCAGGTAAACCCTGGTCCTAAGCATGCACTCTCAGAAGACAGAAATGGACTCCCAACCCCTTAAAATGAAAGGGAGCCCCGGAACAGACAGTCCTATGTTAGCCAAACAAATCCCAGAGGCCAAAGGCTATGTGGGACAAGACATCATTTTATTTCTTTGGTTTTCCAACTTCCCTGTCGGACAATGTAAATTCAGTCTCCTACCTGCCTTGTGGCTCCTTGCTTAAAGGTGTGACTCAGCATTTGAGAAGGCTCAGCAGAAAGGCAGGTCCCCAACAGCCAGCCATGCTGGCAGAGACACCAAGCAGAGGAGGCAGGACTTCTTTGGGGCCTCCAGTGCCCAGGGGCCTTCCCTGGCTTACAGGACACCATAATTTGTTCTGTGAAGTTCAGACTTTCTCCACTGAGGACACGAGCCAGGAGTCACACATCTGGCTCCCATTCAATCCCTATGTTCCTTTGGAAAACATTTTTTGAGGGGGGGGAAAAAAAGAAGAAGAAAAGAAGAAAGAAAAAATACAAAAATACAACCAAAGAGACAATTAACTGGCACTCCTGTAGCTTTCATCAGGGTGGTTGTTTTCCACCTCTCCATGCCGAGCCAAGAAATTACTTTAAGACAGAGCAAAGGGCGGAGCCAGGAGGCAACGCAGGTCCCCCCTTCTTCCTCTGCTCTGTACCGTCTCCCCATCAGCCGTCAACCAGCGTGAGGCCTTCATAGAGCGCCCGCTTCCACATGTAGTAGGTGGAGCGGGCGGTGAGGGGGAAGAGAGCCTGGAACTCCTTGTAGGAGGGGAAAGTCTTGGACTGGAAGCGCTTCTGCAGGAACAGCTTGGCTTGGGCCTTGAACTTGGTGGTGGTGAGCATGTCCATCATCAGCACCTGCCGGTCGCTGCCACCTGCTGCCACCGCCACAGGCTGGCTTGGCAGGGAGCCACTGTGGCCTTGGCCCTGGACCACAGCTACCTGTTGAATGACCTCCTCTCTGGGAGGCCCTCCTCGGCCATCTTCTGGAGAAACGACCACTGGGAGTGTTTTCGCGGGAGGAACCACAGCAGGCGCTACGTTCCCAACGGCTTCTGTACCCTGCCGTTCCTCTGGCTCCTGCCTCCTTTTGCCCAGAGAGGGGCCCCGCATCCTGGGCCATCCCTGGGAAAGGCTTTTCCACACCCAGAAAGTGGAGGGTGACAGGCTAGGGTAGCGGAGGCGGAAGCGACAGAAGGGCAGGTGCCCTCTCAACACCTGCTTGCGGGCAGCCCTGCGGAGTCGCCTCTGCCAACGAGACAAGGGCATCCTGGGGGATTTGGGCCCCTGGGAAGTAGGAGGACCTCGGTCTACCGCTTTCTCTGTCCCCTCCTCTCCCACCTCACTCTTCAAAGAGAGCAGGGCCTCTTCCTTAACCTCTGTTGGCTGGAGAGACCCGGCAGTGGCAAGGACTGGGAAGAGCTTGAAACCGGAGCTCCTCCTGAGGGCCTTCCGCCTCCAGTTGTAGTAGGTGGACCTCGAGATGCCGGGGAACTTGCATTTGAAGCAGCGATAGGGTACCACTTTGTTCAGGGAGATGCAATGCTCCAGGTACGACTTGGCGCGCTGCATGGAGACCACAGTGGGGCTGGGCACCGCGGCAGGCGGTGGGGAGCGCTCGGCATCCCTCTTCCCCGGCGGCCTCTCCACCTCTGGCATGGCCAGTGACTCCCTGGGTGGGGCGCCCGGGACCGGAGCCGAGCAGGCACCCGAGCCCAGCAGCTCGTGCTTCCAGGCGTAGTAGGTAGACCGGGAGATGTCAGGGAACCTCTGCAGGAACTCCTGCAGCGGCACCAGGCCCCCGCGGTGGAAGCTGTCCTGCAGAAAGTGCTTGGCCGAGAAGCGGGTGGCCACCTTCTGCCGGTGCTCCTGGGTCTGCCGCCGCCAGCGGTAGAAGGTGCTCTTGGTGATGCTGGAGCGCTCGCAGAGGTGGGAGTAGCTGAGGCCCGGCTCGCGGTTGAGCAGCTCCAGGGTTTTGGTTGGTGGCAGCAGGGCAGGAGGGGCGGGGCCGAGGCTGGCGGCGCCGTCAGCCTCCACCTCCTCCAGGCCAACCACGGGGGCAAAATACTGGTGACGGAAGAGGTGGCTAGTGAGGGGCTGGCCGGCCCACATGATGTGCAGCATGGGGGTCACGTGGGTGCAGCGGCGAGGCCTGATGACCCGGTTAAAATAGGGCCGGATCTTGACGTTGCGCATGGGGTAGATGGAGTAGATGTTGCGCTGAAGGATGGAGGCAAGGGCGTACAGGTGCCACACATTGGAGAAGCTGGTAGGGAAGCACGTGGCCTTGACGTCGGCATCGAAGATGGCCTCCAGGGTGGCAGAGGACAGGTTGGTCATCTCGGGGGACTCCTCGGAGCACAGGGAGTAGCGCACGGCCTGCAGCATCACCTTGGAGTCGATCATGCCCTGGAGATAGTAGCGCCTGTGCAGCAGCATCTCCACCACGGTGCGGGCCCGCAGCTCCAGGCTGAGGCCGGTGTGGCCCCACAACAGCATGCTGGCTGCTTCGAACAGCAGGCTGCCCTCGCCCTTGCACACCATGGGCAGCATGTTCCGAGGGGCATCCTCGGGGTACAGGCTCAGGGCCACCGAGTCCACCTCCAGCACCTGGGGCCCAGGACCACCCTTCTGGCAGACCGGGAGGCTGAAGGTAGCTAGGACCTGCTTGGCCTCCAGGGCGGCGCTGAGGAGACCCTCCAGGCCCTCGGACTCCACTGCCTCCTGCAGGTCCCGCAGCACCTGCTGCACTAGCTGGGCCCGAGAAGTCATCCTGACAGGGCAAAGGAGAGAGGGCAGAGGTCAAAATAATGGGGAGTAAGCTCTAGCGGCTCTACTGGCTCTACCGTTATAATGTGGCAACAGAAGTAATTTGATGGTGAGGGAGGGTCACCACAGCATGAGGAACTACATTAAAATGTTGGGAAGGTTGAGAACCACGACCCTAGAGGTAATGGGAGTGATGGTGTCTACCTTAGAGAGCCCTTACGGGCTTAACTAAAAGGTGAAAGTCTTAAAAAAACACACTCACACAATCCAAGTACTCGGAGGGTGAAGCAGGAGGATCCTGAATTCAAAGCCAGCCTAGGCTACCCAGCCAGATTCTATCTGGAAACAAAACAAAAAAACAGTAGAGGAAGATACAGATATGGACAAATAAACAGATACACTTATCTTTGTTCCGTGTCTCTCTCTAGAACACTCCCTGAGACACAGTAAGGCAGAACAGACCACCAGTTACCATACAGAATCATCTAATACAAAAATATTATACAGCAGATACAGAAACTATACCTCCACAGGGCAAAGTTGTGCCCTGTGGCACAACTCACCAGGTAGGCAAAGGCAGCCAGGCCTTTCTGAGTTCCAGCCCAGCCAGAGCTACACAGTGAGACCCTGCCTCAAAAACAAACAAATAAATAAGCATAGAATGATCTCTGTAGTGGCTAAAGACATGATCACATATGGGCCAAAATCTAGAACAATGATTCTCAAACTATAGTCTCAGGTCCCTCATAAATTATTTTGAGAATAATACTTAGACACACCGTGATAGCTTAAGGTAATGCAATGATTTGCCTTCTTATCTTTGGACTAAAACCATGTTATTTTATGTTGGGGAGTAATAGTTCACTCCTATAATCCTATAACCCCAGCACTCTGGAGACTGAGACAGAATAACTGCCGTGAGGTTGAGGCCAGCACAGACAAGTAAACCCAAGCCAGCCTGGGCTACAGTGTGAGAACTTATCTTTCCTATCAGGAAATGAAGGCAACAGCATCTAATTATAAAGTCATGTCCCCCCCCCCCCCATGTCCTTGAAGAATGCCCTTGAGAAGTCCTTAAGCACACCCAGGTGTTTCTAGAATTGGAAGCAGGCTGAATGGCTCCTTTGGACAGTTATTGTTTAAAGGTATGTGATGAATCAGCTGCTTTTAGAATGGAACATTTTTATGTAGACCAGGCTTGCCTCAAACTCAGGTCGGCCTCTGCCTCTCAGTGCTTGGGATTAAAAATGTGCACCATGCCCCAAAGAACTACATTTTTTTTTTTTAAATTAAAGCACAGTTGGGAGTTTATTAAGAAAGAATTTTACAGCCTGGGCAGGGGTGGCACACATCTTTAATCCCAGCACTTGGGAGACAGAGGCAAGTGGGTATCTGTGAGTTAGAGGCCAACCTGGTCTACAGAGAGAGTTCCAGGATGGCCGAGGCTACACAGAGAAATCCTCTATCAAGAAAAGAAAAAGAAAAAAAGAATTTCACTACAGATTTAAGGACAGATCACAGGAGAATGGCTTAGAAAAAGGACCTGCCCTAGGATAACTGCTCAAGAGAGCTCGCTGAAAAACTATTTTTAGAGAAAGACTGGCATTACAGGAAGGCACGCAGCACAAACCTGCAATCCCATTTCTGTGAGGCTGAGACAGAAGGGTCAAGTTCAGAGTTCACGGTCAGACAGGATAGCGCAAGGCCAGCTTGGGCCAAGGGGCACCAGACTCAAAACAACCAAAATGGAAAAGCAAGACAAAACAAAAACAGCAAAACTACCACAGACAGAAATGGGTTACATAGACTCAGGAATATTTGAGAGATATTTTCTCAGAAACGAATCTGGTGACGAGCTGAAGACGGCTCAGTGGCTAACCGCTGCTGCTCTTGCAGAGGACCTGAGTTTTGTCCCCAGCAACCACACAAGCATCTGCCAACTCCTGCATCGGGGGATCCAACACCCTCCTCTGGCCTCCTTGGACAGGAGACATACATATGATATACATACACTTATACACATAAAATAGTCACTTTTCTTAATTAAAAAAAAAATTTAGGTGAGCTTATCTCTTCCAAAAAGTTAACTATATTACTGTGACTTAAGTTTGAATTTACCTGAAAATAGGTAGTAGAATCGGCAGAGCCTGGGGATTCAGAGCTAGCAAGGGGAACACAAGACTCTTCTTCAAAAGATAATTACAAAGCCAGGTGTGGGTTGCACACACCTGTTATTCCAGCACTTGGAAGATGGGAGTTCAAGGCCAACCTGGGCTGTGTAGTGAGTTTAAAACCAGCTAGGCTGAGACCCAGTTAGAAACTGCCTCCATTTTTTTTTTTCTGAAAATGTGTATCTACTACATTTGACATAACCTTGACAACTTCCCACTACCTAAATGATTTCATGCTGTATAATCATATTGTCAACATTTCTATTAAAGAGTTGTATTAAAAAAATAATCTGTATTACCACAAAACTGAGGGATGACCTTACAAAGTCATGCACTTTGTAAAATATGCAAAGGGTAACACATCCTTTGGCTTGGATACAGCAAGACACAAAAATCTCAGGATAGTTTCTTGACTTACTTTTCTTTAAATAAGGTCTCCTGATTCTCCGGCCTCAGCCTCCACAGAGAGCTGGGAATAGACATGGTTTGAAAACCTGCACTATCAGCTTTGGCAGACGGTCATGCGGTTAAGACAGAGCAGCAAAAACATCTAGTGGGAAAGCCAAAGCCCCCTGCAATACCATTAAAGTCAGACTTTTCTAATTTTTTTTTCCTCCAATAAAACAATCTATGAAGAATAAGTAGAATCTAGGAAAATGGTGTCACGGAGGACCGAGAAAAATACAAATGATTCGTACTTTTTCTCTTTACTATGAGCTTTTTTTGTTGTTGTTTTTAGGTTAGTGCTAGGGATCAACACAGGGCCTTGACCACAGCATTGCGAACCCCGCCACCACCAAGCCATGTCCACGGCCTCAGAAGTTACCTTTCTTATCAGTGACTGTTACTATTTCATTTTTGTTTTGTTTTTTTCTTCAGTATTAGGCTTTGAACCCAGGACCTCGAACATACAAGACCATATCCTAAGCCTCTTGGTTTTAATTTTGAATAGAGTATACACTGAGATATTACCCATATAAACAAAAAGTCTTCAAGCTCCTCACATTTAGAGTGAAGCCAGGCAAAGCCATGCACACCTGTGATCCCAGCACTCAGGAAGGCAGAGGCAGGTGGATCTCTGAGTTCCAGGCCAGCCTGGTCTACAAAGTGAATCCAGGACAGCCAAGGCTACACAGAGAAAGCCTGTCTTGAAAAATCAAAATATTAAAAAATAATAATAATAAATAAAAAGAAAGAAAAAGAAAAAAAGGGGGGGCTAATGGATCTAGGAGATGGTGATGCACACCTTTGATCCCGGCACCTGGGACGCAGAGTGTGAGTTCGAGACCAGCCTGGTCTACAGAGTGAGTTCCAGGACAGCCAGGGCTACACAGAGAAACCCTGTCTGGAAAAGAACAAAAGAAACAAACAGAAAAGGCCAGCAGAGATCCCAAAACCAAACACAGCTGAGAACTGCCGTCTGTAATAGATGGTCTTCCACAGAGGAAGCAGGAAGGCAGTCTGGCTCAGAGGACTGGAATGGAGACTGCTTGTATTCTAACCCTGACAGCAGGACTATGCCAGTGAACTCCTGAGGAAACAGATCTGTGGTAGAGCACTTGCCTAGCATGCAGGAGACCTTATGTTCAAAGAGATGAGGAAAGAGCTCAGTTGGTGCACCTATGGCCCAGAAACCACAAAGATCTGGGCTCAGAGCATCAGAATCCAAGTTCAAAGCCAGGGCAAGCAGCACACACCTGTATAGAGTCAGGAAGATGCCTGGGGCTTATTGGCCAGCCAGTCTAACTGAATCGGCTTGCTCCAGGTTCAGTGAGCAAGGCAGGACAGACAGACAGCAAAACCCCTGGCAGCCTCCATGCACACACATGCGTGTACACACACACACACACACACACACACACACACACACACACACACGAAGAGATGGCTCTCACCACCAAGCCTGAGGATCTGCATTCAGTTCCCGGGAGCCACATGGCAGAAGAGGAGGACAGACTCTAGGAATTGTTGTCTGACCACCACATGTGCCCACTAAATACAAAATAAATAAATGCAAGAAGCCCTAGATTCCTCTCTTTCTTTCCTTTTCTTCTCCCCCTCCCCCAGACAGTGTTTCTCTGTGTAGCCTTGGCTGTCCTGGACTCACTTTGTAGACCAGGCTGGCCTCCAACTCACAGAGATCCGCCTGCCTCTGGCTCCCTCAGTGCTGGGATTAAAGGTGTGTGCCACCTTGGCTGGTGTGTCCACTTCTACCACCACATAAATGCCTGTGGTGGTGCATGTTTGCAATTCACCCACCTATAAATCCAGCACACGGGAAGTTGAGGCAGGAGGAGCAGGGGCCAAGGTATGAGGTTGGTCTGGGATACTTCAGACCCTGTCTCAGAATGAAAGAAAAACTTTGGGACTCTCATCAGCCCCAGTTCACAGGTGGAGAAACTGAGGCAATTGACTACAGCCTAATTTGTCCAAGGTATCACAAGGGAATGGGCTAGCCAGCCAGCTTCCCATCCAACACAGGCCAAGCTCCCTAACTTTAATAACCGCCAAGGGGAGGCATCCCTTTGTGGACAGCTTTCAAATTAGAAAGGAGAGTATTTTCTTTTTTGGCTACTCAGATGTGATTCTTGGAACCTAACACTTTGCTTTAATTAGGCTCCATTTTAAAAATGTGTTTGAGTATACATGATCACCACACAGCATGCTTAAAAAGAGAGGCACCGGAATGTGAATTCTGATGGGGTAAAGGTGAGAAGAAAAGAATTTTAAAACATTGATAGAACTGCCAGAATTTACTTGATGGCAAGAAAGAGCCTTTCCAACAGTGATAATCAGACTCACCCTTCGTTAACATTCTAAGCTCTAAACGTC